GAAATCACATATAGATGTGACAGCAATGCCCAATTCAGTAATGAAAGTATTTACCCAACTTGACATACCTCTGCTGTATTTCACTTAATATACACACCAGCCTGGCAAAACTGTGATACAAATTTACCAACCCAGACAAAAAGTCTTCTTGCCCTTCCTTACCATGATGACAATGATGGATGAGGAATGACTGAGAGAGTAAGGTATTTTATTTATCTAACCAAAATATTCTCAGTGAATGGGCAAGCAGAATTTTACAATTCAGATACATACTAAGACTACAGTGCCTTATTGTTAGAGTCCTACCAAATTAATGGCCATGAAAACCACGTCACAGACTGTAAAATCTGGCTACTGTAGGGGAGGGGAAGGACTGGAAGCGCTCCAGCCAAGGGCTCCTACCATGCGCCAGGCTCCAGCTGCTAGTCCCAGCCTGGGCTGGGGAGGGATGGGACTTCCTCTTCCCCTGCGGGGGCTGCTCCCAGAGCTGGGTCAGACCCACCTCCAGGAACCTTCCACAGCTGCAGGAAGCTCCATGGATCCTGGCTGGGAGCCCAGCTCTGAAGGCAGCACAGAAGTGAGGGTGGCTGTCAGCCCCTAACCCGAGCAGGAGGCTGGGACCCCAGCTGTCAAACGCTGACTCAGGCAGAAGGCTGCCGTGAAAACCAGGACATATGGTAATCCACTGTCCAAACCCTGCAATATTCACTTCTGCGCTGTTGCTTGCGGTGATGCTGGCTTTAGAGCTGGGCACCCAGCCAGCAGCCGCTGCTCTCTGGCTGCCCAACTCTGAAAGCAGTGCAGCAAGGGTGGCAATCCCACAACCCCCCTACAATAGCCTTGCAACCCCCACAATCTCCTTTTGGGTTGGGACCCCCACGGTTTCAACACCGTGAAATTTCAGATATAAACATCTGAAACTGTGAAACTATTTTAAAAGTCCTATGACTGTAAAATTGACCAAAATGGACCATGAATTTGGTAGGGCCCTACTTATTGTATATAGTCCAATTACTTCACTAGGTCTTGAAGAAGCATGTGTGTCAATGTCTTCAGACTTTCAGGATTTTACTTTTAACATTAGAAGGAATTTTACGTTAGGACTGATAAATCTATTATGATTTATGTTATTTCCCCACACAAACCCCACCCCGTGTTATCTATTGTCCATTTCTTTTACCAATTCCTCCTGAGTCAGGAACTATGATTTATAATAACAGGTACAGAATTCCAGTCATTCCCCCTTATAATCACATTGCTGCTCAAATCATCTTGTGTTATCACTCCTTAACAGGGCACATTTGATTAAAAAGTTATAGAATGGCCACATGAAAATTTCTTCCTGAATATTTTATAGGTCAGCTCGCCAAAAATGTTAAAAAAAAAATCACCATCATGACCACATAGATGTTGAATATTTTCATTTAATTTCCAGTATTGGAATTATATTGACATTGTTATTCCTAACGGAACTTGTTCAGAATCATATGTGATGAATGTTAACAAAAAAATGTTATCAGGCAGCTGGTAAAATGGGGTATGGAGTCTTTTACCTCTCGGAATCTAGCCCAAATTGATAGTGACTGAAAGTTAGTACTGACTGACACAGTAGCCTGTGTGAAATAGTGATCAGATACCACAATGATGAGCACCACCACAGTGCCTATACCAAGAGATAGTAACCTCTGTCTAGTTTGTAATGGGCATCAGGAACGGCTCCAGGCACCAGCGCACCAAGTGCATGCCTGGGGCAGCAAGCCACAGGGGGCGCCCTGCCGGTTGCCGTGAGAGCGGGAGTCAGGCAGCCTTCGGCAGCTTGCCTGCTGGAGGTCCGCCGGTCCCGCAGCTTCAGCAGCAAGTATGCCGAAGGCACGGGACCGGTGGACCTCCCGCAGGCATGCCGCTGAAGGCTGCATCACTGCCGTGCTTGGGGCAGCAAAATACATAGAGCCGCCCCTGATGGGCATGCAAATAGCATAAAAAACATCTGCACAGTTGATAAACTTTTTGACAGTTTTAGCAAAAATTCCAAGGATTGAATGGGCCTGGAGAACAAATTACCCTCTTATCCTAAGTGAGGGTCCCTGATTGAAGTCCATTGACAGGGTAGTACAGGGAAACCACCCCAGACCTGAACCTGTTCTACAGATAAACAAAGGACTCTAATCTTCAATGTTGTTAATCCCAAATCTTTCACTAACATTGCATTCACTTTCAAAATGAGAAAAATGACACCATCAAGTAATTTCTCATGGTTTAAATGTCTTTGTTCCCACTTCTTCACAATAGCCTCACTGAGGTTTTTCATACAAATTTTCCCTATTAATTTTGGCCTTTTTCATTTACCAAGCTAGTTTTTTATTTCCTATATTTAATATATCTGAAAATATGACCATTCTTAACAACTTGAATTTCCGCATCATCTTGTCTAGTCAAACTAGCTTGCCATATACACCAGGGAGACTTGTGTTGTAATGTTTGTAATTGTATCTAGTTGCCTCTCTAAACATAGCATAATACATTGCATTCTGTGGGGCTCACAAAAATAGGCCCGGATCTCAAGTTGTGGCAAATATTTTCTGATCCTACTAATTTCAACCAGTAAAATTTTTAAAAGCACTGAGGGATAGCTCCACAAAGGGTCTTAAGTGTCACAGTGCTCAGCCTTCCATTGGCTAATGTTCTTGTGCCATGTCACCCAGTGGAATCCACAGCTCCAGGTTAGATGCCCAAGATCTCTGTATCTAGAGAGGCACCGAAAAATGGGATCCACAAAGGCCAGCATGCTGAGCAGAGAGCTGCCTAAGCTAACCAATAGGAAATATATATGAGTGGGGTGTGGCCTAAGCCCTACCCCTCAAAGGGAGTTAGGCACCTAAGTCTGGGTCAGAGGGAGGCACCTATCTCCACTGGATTCTCTGTCATGAACCCTCTCCTGGAAATAGTATCAGGGGGTAGCCGTGTTAGTCTGTATCTACAAAAACAACAAGGAGCAACAAGGATGCATCCGAAGAAGTGAGGTTTTTACTCACGAAAGCTTATGCCCAAATAAATCTGTTAGTCTTTAAGGTGCCACCAGACTCCTTGTTGTTTTCTCCTGGAAATAGGCACCTAATCCCTTTTTTGCAAAAAACACAGAAGAAATTGAAGCTACTGTCCCCTTTATAACTTTTAGTCCATTGGTTAGCACACAGACCAGGGTTCAATTCCCACCTCTTCCTGATGAGGAACAGGAATTTGAAGTTGTACCTCCCTCCTCTCAGGAGGGTGTTCTAACCACCAGGCTATGGGGTATTTTGGGGAAGGTATCTCTCAATCACTTCTTTTGAAGCTGGTCCACTGTATATAGAGACCCAGATTCCATTCCCCCTCCTCCAATGGGTATTTAATAATTTATACATTCTGGAACTGCTTCAATGTAAGAAACTTGTCCCAGAATACCCCATAGTCCAGTGGTTAGGACACCCTCCTGGAAGTGAGAAGGCCCAACATCAAATCCTTGCTCCACATCAGGCAGGGGAGGAACTGAATCCACTCTTTGAAAACCAAAACCCTATAAGGAGTCTCAAGTTGGATACCCAAAGATTGAGTATCCCAAATAACCAGTCACTTGTGAAAATGTAAACATTATAATTATTGTGAGGTAGATTAAATATAGAGCTGAAAACCAAATCTTGGACAAAGTCACTTCAAAATCAATATTTGTGCCAATAAGCACAGCATGGTTGCTAAATGGAAGCATAGTATAATACAATTTTACTACCACTTTCTCTCTTTTTTTAATATTCAAATATAAAAGCAAAATACATTGGACCACTGATCATTTTACATAAACAAATGGACAAAAAGGCTACTCTGTAGATCTTATTTCACTCCACTATCTGTGCTTTTATTCTCCTTGTCACAGCCAAGTTGAGAATTTCCTTTGCCATGATAATAAGCAGAAAGTTCAGAGATCTCAAAAAAACAAAGCAGGAAGTTTGCTGTTTGAAAGATTGCCCCTTCAGAGGGGATGGGGGAGGAGAGAAAAGAATGTCAGGGCTATTATGGAAGACCCTCTGCAAAACTAAACCGATGACTTGAGATTTGTTTATCCCAAAGAGGCCTTAAAGTGATGCTGTTGATGCTGGTGCAAATGGGAATGGGAAGAAATGTTATGATGTTTGTCTTATCATTCCATAGTGGAAACAGTACTTTCTTTGGCTCTACCAGAGGATAACTTCATCAGAAAGCAAAAGTTTCTGCAACTACCTGATTTGAACCTAACAATAAATCATGTTGTTAACACTGATTTTAAGACACAGAATGAAGCTAAAACTTACTGCTGCAACATACTCTAAGATGCTTTTTAAAAAAAAATTAACCGTTCCTTCAACTCTCCATCCAACCACTACATTACAAAGCCTGGTTTAAATTGGAAAATATGGGGGTAGAGGAAGGGGTGAATGCCACATGTGGCTTTAATACTCAACAGCTGCTGTAGATCAGAACCCCCCTTGGCTCTTTCTGTTACAATAACCCTTGAAACATAGTATTCTGGTGGGGGGTAAGTAAAAGGACTGCACTGCGCTGCTCTCTGGATAACGAGCGAAGACTGAAAAGATCGTTGAACAAAGTGTACCTGAATCTCACTGCACTCTGTTCTTGGATGCCAGTCCCAGATTAATTGTTTGTCTCGTGGTAAATTCCCTGCAAAAGCGCACCTAGGGCCAGCCATTTACAAGCCACTTCGCTTCAGTCTCTTTAAAGCAACAGCAAAACAACAGCTACTTGCAATAAACTGATTGACTCAGGGAAAAGTATTTCACCCGGCTCTGCCTCCGAGCGCGTTTGTTTGGGTCTCTCGCCCTCTCCCCCACACGCGACAACCCCAATTCCTTGGTGTTGCCCCCCCTCTTGGTAAACCTGTGAGGGCGGGAAGGGGGTGTTGTTCCTGTTCAACAAGTCACTTGTTGTTTCATTAGCCACCAATGAACCCAGCTTCGTGAAACTTAACTCACCGACACCAGGAACTCCAAAGTGCCCACATAGTCCCGCTCAGTCTTCAGAAGCTCGTTCAAAACGCACACCCTGAGGCGAAGCTGTTTCTCCAGGTCCTTCCCGCTTTCCCCTTTCCCTTCCCCTTTGCTTTCTTCTGTCATTGTTCCCCAAAGCGAAGCCTCGCTCCCAGCTCCTGCTTCTCCCAGCTCCTCTGCTGTTTGCAGCCACCAATAGGAAAAGCTGCCTCGGTGTTTCCTCTAGCAAAGTTCAGATGGGACAACAAAAGACCCCACTCAGTTACATAGCGGGGGGCTGGTCTTCCGTGGCTTGCAGGCTGTTAACCAGTCTCGCTCGCTCTTCCACTGCTCAAGAAGTGCTTTGAGAGCCAGAGGAGCAAAGCAATACAAATGCGTGTCTTCTTTTCCAGTAAGGAAGAGGGCACAGCCTGTAGGAAATGAGTGGTCACTGGCTCCTGCTCTCCGAGCGCTCTGTGTGACTGCGAGATTGGAAGGCTTCAGCAGCAGCCCAGGCAGCTTGGACATTAATCAAAAGCTTTGTGTCCATGTGACTTCGACCCCTTCCCCCTGCGCCAAATCTCAGGAAAAAGGAAAGGAAGCACAACCTTGGGAAAGATTGCGTGCCAGCAACTGCCTGTTTCACACACACGCTGTGCGCTTTAGTCTGAGGCTAATTGGAGATCTCCAACTCCAGAGGATAAGAATTCACTTTAAAATGTCCCAGACTCGCTAGACTGCTGGGATTCAGGCGGTTGTTTATTGCTTTGTAATAAGCAGTCAAGAAAGTGGTTTCTTCAACCCACGCATCCCCCTCTTCATATATAATTATAAACACACACATTATACACACATGTATATAATATATATTATAGCTTCACGTTTTATATTCTGCCACGTACAGGCAAATACCTGTGGCTCTGTGTGTGTAATCGTGTTATATCCACTCATATTTTATATTCAACATTACACACACAACCAAGCACACTATAAACATACACAATAGTTTGGTTGGAGTTGGCCTGTTTTAAAGGAGCTATTAAATCTGTCCAGGTCATGAGGATTACTCATTGCACTTGGAAGTTCAGATTCGTATAATAAATGAAGATACTACAGGAATCTGACAGGAACCTTCACAAACACATTCATCCTGTAGATGTGGGGGTGTTAAAATGTAAGTGCATATCTTAGTAAACAAATATCACCTTCACTTACAGAGGGGTCAAACCCAGATCTTTAATCTGAGACACCCCTCCCACCCCTGCCGAATTTTGTGGGTACAAATCAAAGGTTTGGGTCTCTCAATCTGCTCTTAAGGTTTGCAACCAGAAACAATATTCAGAGACCCTCTTTTTAGGTTCCACATTGAGGTGGTATATTTCCAACCACAGTGTCCCAACAAGAGGGAGTGAAATGGAGCCCCTGGACCTACCCATGCCCTCCACCCAAGATTCTAGTCCTCTTGGTGCCTAAGGGAAGAAAAGGTGAAGAGACAAACCCACACAGTGTCTCCACCTTTCCCTTCTTGCAACCCAAGGGAAAAGACAAAGACAGCCCAGGCTTGGGGGGCTCAGCCTTAATTGTGAGAGGAGAGGTCTTGGAAAAAAATTTGAAGGAGAAAGTAGTTAAGGACCTTGAGGTCAATGGCAATTGGGACAAATTACAACACGGTCTTACGAAAGGTAGATCGTGCCAAACCAACCTGATCTCCTTCTTTGAGAAAGTAACAGATTTTTTAGATAAAGGACATGCGGTGGATATAATATACCTCGATTTCAGCAAAGCGTTTGATACGGTACCGCATGAGGAATTATTGGTTAAATTCGAAAAGATGGGGATCAATATGAAAATCCAGAGGTGGATAAAGAACTGGTTAAAGGGGAGACTGCAGCGGGTCGTACTGAAAGGTGAACTGTCAGGTTGGAGGGAGGTTACCAGTGGAGTTCCTCAAGGTTCAGTTTTGGGTCCGATTTTATTTAATCTATTTATTACTGACCTCGGAACCGAATGTAGGAGTGTACTGATAAATTTTGCAGATGACACAAAGTTGGGAGGTATTGCCAATTCGGAGAAGGATCGGGATATCCTGCAGGGAGATTTGGATGACCTTGTAAACTGGAGTAATAGTAATAAGATGAAATTTAATAGTGAGAAGTGTGAGGTTATGCATTTAGGGATGACTAACAAGAATTTTAGTTATAAGCTGGGGACGCATCAGTTGGAAGTAACAGAAGAGGAGAAGGACCTCGGAGTCCTGGTTGATCTCAGGATGACTATGAGTCGGCAATGTGACGTGGCCGTGAAAAAAGCTAATGCGGTCTTGGGATGCATTAGGCGAGGTATTTCTAGTAGGGATAAGGAGGTGCTGGTTCCGTTATACAAGGCACTGGTGAGACCTCATTTGGAGTACTGTGTGCAGTTCTGGTCTCCCATGTTTAAAAAGGATGAATTCAAACTGGAACGGGTACAGAGAAGGGCCACTAGGATGATCCGAGGAATGGAATACCTGTCATATGAAAGGAGACTCAAGGAGCTCGGTTTGTTAACCTTAACCAAAAGAAGGCTGAGGGGGGATATGATTGCTCTCTTTAAATATATCAGAGGGATAAATACCAGAGAGGGAGAGGAATTATTTCAGCTCAGTACTAATGTGGACACGAGAACAAATGGATATAAACTGGCCGTCGGGAAGTTTAGGCTTGAAATTAGATGATGGTTTCTAACCATCAGATGGGTGAAGTTCTGGAACAGCCTTCCGAGGGAAACAGTGGGGGCGAAAGACCTCTCTGGCTTTAAGATTAAGCTTGATAAGTTTATGGAGGGGATGGTTTGATGGGATAACGTGATTTTAGTCAATAGGTCAATAATGTGCCATCGCTGGTAATTAGTAACAATGGTCAATGATGGGATATTAAAAGTTACTACAGAGAACTTTTTCGGGAGGGTCTGGCTGGCGAATCTTGCCCGCATGCTCGGGGTTCAGCTGATCGCCATATTTGGGGTCGGGAAGGAATTTTCCTCCAGGGTAGATTGGCAGAGGCCCTGGAGGTTTTTCGCCTTCCTCCGCAGCATGGGGCAGGGGTCGCATGCTGGGTAGGGGTCACTTGCTGGAGGATTCTCTGCAACTTGAAGTCCTTAAATCACGATTTGGGGACTTCAACAGCTGAGTCAAGGGAGAGAATTATTCCAGGAGTGGGTGGGTCAGCTTTTGTGTCCTGCATCATGCGGGAGGTCAGAGTAGATGATCATAATGGTCCCTTCTGACCTTGAAGTCTATGAGTCTATGAGTATAAGGCTCCCATAAAAAAAAAACCCATCTCCCAAGTAGTGGGTAGAGAATACATTAGTACAGCAGTTCCCCCCAACTCCTGCCTCAGGTATTCGGAGCCAGGAAGGCAGGCACTATTGGAGGCAACATTTTTTGTCAGATATCTGCTGGTGGCTTCAGTAATGGTGCCCAGGGCCAGATTAAGGCAACCTGGGGCCATAGGCACACCATGACACAGGGCCTCCATGGCTCTGTCCTCTCCCACACACACACTTGAAGTAGCCTTGGCAAAGAGACCCGCCCCTTCCCAGAGAGACAGGGGCAGCAGCATGGGGCTCTCCTCTCCCCTGCGTCCCAGGTGTGGCAGCAGGGGCCCCTCCCCTCAGGGTGGCTTAAGACGTCCCTTTTCACCACCAGCCCCAGAGAGAAAGGAATGGCAGCCAGGGGACCCTGTCTGCTTGGGAAATGGGTCACTGTAAAAGGGGTTCTTGAATTTGTGATTTAATAGCAATTTAAAAAAAAATTCTTTAAATGGTCAGATGATCCAGGACCCTCCAGCTGTGCACACAGCCAACAATGGAACAGTGCATTTTTATTTCTCCTACCCTCACCCTCAGTCTCCTTTCCTCCTATTACTTGTTACCCCAGCTTGTCTAAAATCAGATCGCAAACACAGCAGCAGAGCAAAGATCATCTGGGAGGCAGTACTTCTTTTGGATAGGTGACTCAGGTATGGTTGCCAACACTGTAATTCAAGAACAGGAGTACTTGTGGCACCTTAGAGACTAACAAATTTATTAGAGCATAAGCTTTCGTGGACTACAGCCCACTTCTTCGGATGCATATGCATATGCATATGCATCCGAAGAAGTGGGACTGTAGTCCACGAAAGCTTA